GGTCAAAACCCAACTGCCAGATTTTCTACATAATGTTGATAACACCAGGAGGAGGATTCGAACCAAAGACACGTGGGAGTGGCACCCTTCACCCTGGGCCTGCCAACTAGCCGCCCACCGTCATGTGGACCCATCCACCATCTTCACTAAAGAATCCAACCGTTTAATTATGTTGGCAAATGATCTATCTCTTTTAAGACAAACTCCATCACCAATTTTGTACGGCCTTATTTAGTTTTTATGGTACTTATTATAATAATAAAAATTACCAGAGAAATGGCATATATGAAGAAGAGCTGTACGTAAGTTTCATATATAGGTGTGATTCAGTGATTGTGTGAACATTTGAAATTCAAACCAGTTAAAGAGAAAAAAATCCCAATTACTAACCCTAAAATGCACCACTTAATCATTTATAGCCAAATTGAACTAATCTCATAAATCACACTAAAACCGTTAAAATTTATCTAACGTGATACAAAAACATGATCTATCAACAATAATAATATTCAATATGATCTATCAACAATAATACTATTCAATCTGCATTATTAAGAATTTAATGATTTATTTACGTATGGATAATTGGATATGATATATTATTATATTATGATCTAATTTCAAAAATCTCGCAATCAGGGATTCAGGTACCATATTTTGCAACAAATATATAACGTGGAAAACGTGAGTTCTGAAGCTTAAAGTAAAGCAATTGTCATAAGACACTTGGCCAGAGAAAAGCCCGACGAACTTGGTAATAAATTTCTTTAACCTCGGTAATAAATAGGATAATGAATTAATGACTTTGCACATTGAATTTCTGACCGACCCTAAATAAGGTGAAATTTAGTTTCAAAAAAAAAAAGGGTGAAATAACAATTCCAAATAAATGAATAAGATTTTTACTGGTAGCCGTGTGACTGCTAAAAAGGATTTTGCTATTCACATTATTTACTCACAAGACTGTGACTACTTTTATGTTAAAAAAGGCACTCGTCTCAGTCCCCGAATGATTTTGTGTAATTTAGACCCTTATATTCTAAAAATTAATTGTAATATAATGATAAAAATATGGTAAGAACAAATTTTGAAACTCTCATCTCAATTTCAAAATCACTTTGCTGCTAAAATAAGAGCTTTTTTTTTAATCTGTTCCTCCATTTTCGCCGGAGATTGATGAAATGGATAAAATCCCGATTGCGAGATTTCCTTTTCGTGTGCTCTATGATTACGATCGTTGCAGGTTTAATGGGCTCCGGTTTTGGGTTTTAAGGCCCATATTTGTCATTCAGGCCTTTCGTATGTTTTTGTAGTTAAGATTAATCAAGTCTAATCTTTGATTTTTTCTCCGATTAATCAAGTTTATCACAGATTCACAATATTGATCTCAATCTCTCACACATGAAGTTGTCAAAAAGAAAAAGAAACAAAAATTGACATGAATAATGCTTTTTTAGTGTCTAATGATCATATATCTATTAGCAAATAAAATTCCTACTACTAATTACGTGAAGTGAATACAAAAAATGTTTCATTCAAACTCTGACTTCAAGGTGCATAGTTCATTCCCCAAAGTTTTTATTTTTGCGCCGGCCCTGCAATGGTGTAAAATTAGTGGTTGATCCCATATGGCCATATTTAATGTGGAAATTGAAAGGAAGGCTAAAGAAAAATGGAAAATTAGGTGAGATATTAGCCTTTATACTTATAATTAATTATCTAATATCAAATAAAATATAATTGAGTATCTAACATTTATACCACCTAAAGTTTCGATTTTAGCCTTATCAATTTACTATGTTTGTTTTTTTTACTTTGGTATTAAAAAAAAATTACCAAATCTTAAACATAAGAAAATTAATACATACCCTAATCTTCCTCTCCCCTCATTTCTCACGCCGTGAGCATCTTCCATACTTTTTTTTTAGCAAA